ATAATTATATAACAATAACTTTTAACTATTTCAGAAATTAAGAAGAAAAACAAAAAAATTAATAAAAAAAAACACGTAGAAATTTTAAAAATAAAATGGGTGAGAACGTACCACCTGTAGCACGAACCGTTCGAATGCAACTACAAACATTTGAATTTCTCAGAGAGTTAAAAAAACGAATTAATTGAATAAACCAATCATACACAAATAACGCGAGGAAGTAGTCAGATTACATTGCTTCCCAGAACATATAAGAAGGGCGAATAGTAATATGACCATACCTTTCAGGCCGAATTTCTTAGCACGGGTCATGATCCATGTTAATGATTTTGTACGCACAGTTATCTTAAGACCAAATCATAATCGACCAATGTGTGTAGAGTTGGGTTTACTAATAGAACAACTAATCAGACGACGCGAAATCATTGAAACGATTTTCGAAGAATAACCTCAGAAAACATATATCATATATCAAATATCATATATCATGTATCATATATCATATATCATATACATAGCAATAAATACTAAAAAAAACCAATTTAAGTTTGTTTTTAAAGAAAAATAATTATTTTATTTTAGCTCACAGGTACGCTTTTTTATAATGGATTTCGAGTTCTTTACCGTCAGTAAGAACGAAACATTACTGGTATCCGGCGCGATATCGAATAGTTTAGAAAAATACCAACCCAAGAAATTGGAGGGGAGTCCTCTTATACTTACAAAGGATGATAAGTTAAGAAGATTCCGCCCATGCGACCTAAAGAAAACAGTGCAGAATATCAAACGAGTATTCCGAGGGAAAAAGGCAAGAGTGATTGAACCATTGCTGGAACAGTTATACAACAGTATAAGTCGCCAGGGGGGGATCAACCTTGTCTACGGTATACTTGCAAAGATATTTGCATATAAACGATAGGGAGCCGCTAATAGTATTTTGGAACGGAACGTCAGATATCACGATAATTAAGCGTTTAAGATTAACAGGAATTTTAGCATATTTAAATATATCGGCAATTAGCGTTAGGAATAATGACGAATTTGTATTAGAATTATCAAACCTAGAGACTAAGGAAGTTTTATATTCAGGTTATTTAGGTAAATTAAATAAAAATGGTAGAATGTTAGGACTATCAGAAGCTCATGAACTAGCATGCGATATTAATCATAATATTACACATTGTCACGATCCAGTTACAGACGTAATTTTAACGAAATGCCTATTCAATTACATAGTAACAAAGATAAAGCCCATTAAATTATATAAATTAGCAAAAAAATATAAAAGGAATTTTAAGGCAAAATAAATAATAATTATTAGTCAATAAATAAATATAACACAAAATAAATTAAATAATGAAAACAAATACATAAATTAACATTTATTATATATTTTAGATTCATTGAGGAGCTAAAAACAATTTTAAAAACAGAAGTACATATTTATAACGTTAAAGAAAATAAGTTACAATCCGTATGCTTTAATTGGCATATATTAAAGGCAAACAAGAAAATAAATAACCACTACGATCATAGAACTTTAAATAAAATAACTAGAAGCCTTGAACTTTTCATAAACGATCATTGTAATGGAGAATGCAAACAATTAGTAAAAATAATAGAAAACACTAGAGATCCAACTTACATGATGAATTATCTTGAATAGAACCATAGTTGCATATGTCTGTGACAAATTTAACAATTATTCACATAAATTAGTATATAGGTGGAAGATAAATATTATTATTATATAAAAAGGGGAAATATTTAAATTGTATACTTACGTAACGCTTATAATGTTATAATTTCAGGTACCTATATTATTTTATTAAAGATTATTAATCATTTTTATTAACACTATTTGTTTAATTAAATCATGTATTAATTTATTTTACTAACCACAATTAAAATTGTAATATGAATAAAAGAAAAAAAAAACAATAATAATAATAATGATGACATTAAAAATTGTAAAATGCTCACATTATTGTAATCAAATGTAATACTATAATCAAATTGTTAACTGTATACAAAATTTAAATGTCAATGTAAACAATGTAATTCAGCCATTGTAAACTATTAATTAACGATGTTAAAGATTCTTAACCCTTAAAGGTTAACAATCTTTTTTTTGGTAGGGAGGTGTAATGGGATTACGCAATATCATATATTTGCTCATAATAACAACCAGGAATGCGACCACACCCAAAAGTGTTTTCGACTACGAATACCACTTTCATAGTCGTGAGGTCCATATCAAGGACGACTGTACACGCGCCGCTCACTTTCAAAGGACGCCGCCACCATATATATATAGGGGACAGCGAGACAGCCTGAGTTAGATGTATCCAGAGACGAGAACACCACACGACTCGCTTAGCCGCCCAGCCATCACACACGACTTACACGGAGATTATCAACTTCGGAACGAGCCACAAATTCACTACAATCAACAATATTATTCTGCTTGTTTTGTCTGGTTTAATATAATACATTTGATTACCATTCTAATTGACTATTATTATTTATCAAGTACACCAGCTTTTGGATCCCTGAAGGGCCGCATGTAACACTATAGTGAAACAGTGGCGTAAAAAATGAAACACCGCTTCGTTTCCCCAGCCCGCCGGCCGTGTCCCGTCGATTCATTATAGCGCGACCAATCGCGTACCTTCGCAGCGGCGGCAGTCGGTTTTAAAACGTTTTTCGTTATCACCTCTTTTCCTATCATTTCGCCGATTTTTGAAATTTTCGGAAAATTAGCTGTTTTTACACGATTTCGACCCTTTCCGTCCTTTTTTATACTTAATTCGAAGCCGCCGGTGTGCGGTTTATATTCGTGCGCCGTTCGAAGCGGTCGCAATGTCGATCGAAAAATACACTCCCGACCGGACTTTTTAGCCGATTTTTTCCTTTTCTCCCACCGTTTCGTCTATTCGCACGCCGTTTGTGCCGGAATCGTGTAGTCCACGTCTTTTTGAAGCCGTTTATATGCGCTTTTCCCCCGAAATCGGTTCGTTCGCCTCGCAATCGCGTTTAGAAGCGACCGACCGACCGTACGCGTATATATACATGTACCTATATACGTGTACAATTTAATTTTTCCCTATGATTTAATAATTAACGGCAAACGCTTTTCACACGCCCCGTTAAATATAATATATATGGGAGATGCGCGTATTACAAGCGAATTACATCGATGTACATCGAATATATCGGTTTACGTCGCTCCGTAGACGCACGGCTTAAGTGTTGATGTTTTGTTCGTATTTCACGTCTCAAACTGTGTCCAAGTAGGTTAGGCGTTAGGTAGGAAACACGTAGGTCCCGGGTTCGAATCCGTCGTACGCTGCCCAAGCGTCAAATCCGACTTTGCCATAAGGTCCACACGGCTGCCCGGAACCTGACTTTTTTTGCATTTTTTTTTTCACGTTATTTTTCATATAAATTAAATAATATAATAATACAGGAACATATCGACATATCGTACATTATTATTATTTAAAGGCATTGTCATATTATATCACACAATAAATAGGTACATATTATTATATTTGTTTTGTTAGGAATTATTATAATTGCATATTTTTTCAAAAAGTCCATGATTGTTATATAAATATAGTTTGTATTTTATTTCGGATTGCCTACCTAGGTGGCTAAATTGAAAGTTAATCGATTTTGACTTGAGATGACTGACTTGCTAGACACTCCAACACGGTTGTCGACTATACACTTTTTACATAAGGAATGGCACCGGACATGCGAAGCCACATACCACTCTATGTGATATACCTACTATACATAGGTGATAGACGGATTGCTCATTTTAGTTTCGTCTTAAACGGTGATGATTGACTTGACAGACACTTTAACAGTTTAACATGCAGGTTTTTGCATTTTTTTTTTTTAAATTAATATTTATACATTATAGGTAATGTTTATATGTATTGTATTGGTTAATATAATAGAATGTATCTAACTATCTACCTTTATGTTAATTTTTTTTAGGAATTATAATTGCACATTTCTCAAAGTGTTCATTGTTATATTATATCACACAATAAATACATATCATATTTGTTTGTATGTATATTGTATATAGTTTGAATTTTTCGTAAATTATTTCGTAAGTTGTGTGATAGGGTTTTCACTTATGGCCGCTTGACGTCGGGTCTGCAATCCACCGCAGGTGGATTGCCTACCTGATTTTTTGTAGCACGTTGTCCGCGATCCGACGAAGTCGGATTGCCTACCAAAGTGGCTAACTTGATAGTTAATAGATTTTGTCTTGAGATAACAGACTTGCTAGAAACTCCAACACGGTTTTCGACTTACACTTTTTACATAAGATAAAGCACCGGTCATGCTACGGCACATACCACTCTATGTGCAGGTATACTCTATATAGTATATAGGTGATCCTGGAGATCGTATCAAGCCTATCCATTTACAACGTTTGTGACGGATTGCTAGACGCTCAAACTTTTAACATTTCCGCCAAAGCGTCTATCCTTATCTTCAATCCATATCACTAATCCTTATCACAAATTCTAAACTTTCGTCTTACAACATTTTATAATTCATTGTCTCCAAAATCGGTACCCACTCCCTGTGAGTCCAACGAGCCCCGAGTTACACTTAGAGCTAGTAGTAATATAAAATATTACTTAATGCTAAGTGATAACAGATAACATAATTTCCCATAGATAATAAAGATCTTTGTTATCTATGTAATTTCCACCGTTTGCACTGATTAGTGATTAGAGATATCAATATATCGAAATATCGATAAATAGGAATATCATGATGAAATTTGGATGATGATGATCAATTATTGACAAGCGAAATTTGTGAAGAAGAAGATGGTGGTAATTATAATGAATATAATAATTTTACTAAAATAGGATGTTCTCCTACAGTTTTCAAAAACAGTCGTTTTAGAGAAATCCAAGGATAAAAATATTTATAAATTACAACCAAGTTACATTTTTTTAATGATAATGAAACCAATGTTTGAAACAATTGTTGAAGAATCCAATTTATATGCTACTCAACACAATGCTAATTTAAATACTAATGTTGAAGAAATAAAAGCATTTATCGGTATGCTCATTTATATAGGTTATCATTCCCTTCCGAGTATAAGGCTTTACTGGTCAACTGACCAAAATGTTTACTGTGAAAGAGTAGCCAGAAAAATGCCTGTCAAGAGATTTTTAAAACTTCTACGCTATCTTCACCTAAACAATAATTTAAATATGCCACAAAGAGATTCTTCACATTTTGACAAACTTTATAAAATCCGTCCAATCATCTCATTTGCAAGATAAATATCAATCTATATTTAAACCATCTAGACATGTAGCAGTAGATGAAAGTATGGTGCCATTTAAAGGACGTTCTACCATGAAGCAGTACATGCCAAATAAGCCGATAAAACGAAGGTTTAAAATTTGGGCATTCGCTGATTCAGCTAGTGGATTTTTGCTAAATTTTGATGTTTACACTGAGAAAAAGACTGACGGTAAACCAGAGTTCGGTTTAGGTGAAAATGTTGTTTTAAATCTCTGTGAAAATTTAAAAAACTTATATTATTGTGTTTATTTTGATAACTTTTTTACAAGTATACCTTTGATATCAAAACTTTTAGAATATAGAATTTTTGCTTGTGACACATTCAGAACTAACAAAAAGTTTTATCCTAAAAACCTAATGAAGAAAGATAATAAATATGCTTCTGGAGATAGAGTATGCTCAATGCAATGATATAAGTGTTATGCTCTGGAAAGACAGAGGTTCTAAGCTAGTTACACTGATAAGCAATATGCATAATGCAGCAGAACTTTGTGTTGTACTTAGACGAAATTCTAAAGGTGAAAAAGTTCCTGTTTCCTGTCCAACTGGTATATCTGATTACAATAGATATATGGGCGGAGTAGACAAATTTGATCAATATATGGCAGCTTACACTATATCACAAAAATCTCGTAGATGGTGGATCAAATTGTTTTATTATTTTATTGATACTGCAATTGTCAATTTTTATATCTTGTACAAAGAGAGATGTAATAAAGCAAAAAAAAAATATGTTTCACAGTTGGATTATAGACCAATGCTTACAGATACCTTAGTCAATAATTTTAGCTGTAGAAAAAAAAACTACTGTATCTCCACAAGAAAAAGGTGCAAAAAAATAATTTAAACAATCTGCTGTTGAACTTGTACCAAAGTATATACAATCATATAGACGTTGTAAGTTGTGCAGTAAGAGAAAAAAAGAAAAACGATCTAATAGGATGTAGTATTATGTAAAGACTGCTATGGACCCTATCATAAAACTGATTAATTGTTATTTTTAAATTATACAGTGTTAGTATATACATTTTATGCTGATGAGTTTTTCTATTTTTAAATTTTACTTATTTGTTATATTGTTTAGTATGTATTATGAACGAAACCAAAAGACTGGTAGTTTAGTTTTGAGTTGAAATTGATACTAATTTTATATAATTATTTATATAATAATATTATATTAATTGTATGCTATAAAATTGTCTGTTTTTATATTTTAATTTGTTATAAAATGAAACCAAAATAATGGTAAATATACTTTCACGTTGAAATTGTTGTACATTTTATTATTTTATTATTATTACAAGAATGTTATGACTTATGTTGTACTGTACTTTATTAGTTTATTATAATGGTTGGTAAACTTTGAGTTTTAAATTTGGGGTGGGGGCTACTATTACAGTTTTTCCAATAATACACAATTTAGAAAAAAAAAAATTTAGAAAAAAATATGCCCCCCTCTCCAAAAAAACCCTCCAAATTCCGCTTATGATTATATTATGATTTATGTTTTGATTTTTTAGTCAATTTCACAAGAAAAAATCCCTTAAAAAATTAGTGTAAATATGTTTGCCTATCCCCGAAAATTTTATAGTAAATGATATCACACCAAAAACACTACGTTATAACTCCGTGTAAAAAAAAAAAATTAATAATGATTAAATCTTTAAAAGTTGTGATATAATATGCAAATTAAGTAAAATGACATTTTATAATATTATGATGACAAATAAGATCAATTGTATTGTTAAATACTTGGTGAACATTTTGTTGATACATTGTTAATTATTGTAAATACTGTAGTGATTACCTAATCTTATTTATTTAAGAATACTTCTACGTCCTGCCAAATAGTTAAACATAATATGTTGACTAAGTATTTAACAATACAATTGATCTTATTTGTCATAGGTATTTGTAATATTATAAAATGTAATTTTACTTAATTTGCATATTATATCACATCTTTTAAAGATTTAATCATTATTAATATTTTTTTTTTAACTTAGCTTTTTTTTACACGGAGTTATAACGTAGTGTTTTTGGTGTGATATCACGTATTTTTTTATGAAATAAGTCTCGATTTTAAATGACTGTATGTAATAATAATAATCAATAATAGCATATTATGCATCGTTGGTCTCCAGTTGTTATATCTTTTTTTCTATTTTAGTTTTTTTTTTCTAAAATTATAATATAAATATTATATCGTTACATCTAACCCATATTTTATTATATTATGTTTAATAACTGATGTGTAATGAGCTTGAGACTTGAGTCATAGATGGACCATGATGGCAAATCACATAATTAAGAGCATATGATTATATGCATATCGACCTTAATTGTTGCCACGGGTAAGGAATTAATCACCAGATTTCTTATTTTATTCTATTATCGTTCCAAGTTTTCAGCATAATAATATAATACCATCGAGCTGGATCACGAATTCACTAACAATCACAGTCGTTGAGTCGTTAGCAAGTTCCTATAATCTATAATACTATCATGCTGGTCGTCACTCGTGGGCAATACACGAAATGGTATAATGGTAAAATTGGTTGCAGGCCACTGGTATCCGAGAGACCGCGGCGTCGCAATCACCAATCGTCGTAGTACGTCGTCGCCGCCGCCGCCGCCACCGCGATGAGAGTAGTGGGAATGGATAAGCGGTGGGTCGGGGGATATTTACGATATTTTCGTTCCCCGACCCACCGCTTATCCATCCCCACTGTTCCGTACGCAAAATCGGTCTTAAAAGTACTTGAACATTTTTGCTTATAACTTATAAAATATCTTACCAATCTGCTAGCAAATTCTTCTGTTCCCATCTGCACAATATTTATGATCGATTGATACTTCATACGACTTTATATGTTCGGCCGTTTGCCCTGTAGAGCTTGGCAAAGAATTGACATAAATTAGGACGATTTTTCAATGTTATAACTCGGTGTCCTGTTATTTATTTATTTATATTGAATACGGGACGAGCCCAATTACATTGATTTTGTTGACAATCATTAACAAGAAAAAATTACACATATTTAAGAAAGAAAGACAATAAGTAGACTAAATGCTAAAGAATTGTGGGTCCTCATTGGAAAGTTTCATCATACAAAATATAGGGCGATTAGTTAATTAATTACAGCGGCTAAAAGGAATATGAAATTGGAAAGAGGATCTGGAAGAATAAGCAGGAACTCTGATATTAATTTTGTATAGGAGTACAGTAGCGTCAATTTCACCATTAATAAGTTTAGAAAGGAACGTAAGGTTTCCCTGTTTTTTCCTATCACATAGGGTAGACAGATGGAGACGCTGCAACACTGGTTCATACTCATGAGGTGGGCACTCAATACCTAAAGCAAAAGCGGAAAATTTTAAAAATTTACGCTGAACTCTTTCAAGTTGGCAACTACCGTCAATGGTGCATGGTTCCCAGATAATTATACCATACTACACACAGACCGAACGAAAGAGCAGTACAAGGTCTTAAGAGAACTAGACAATTTAAACTCACAAGAAATCCTTTTAACAAATCCGAGAAGATTCAGCGCCTTACATGTAACTTTCTCAATATGAGAAGGTAAGAGATCGATCAAAAGAAATACCAAGGTCTATAATACAATCACTGGAGCGCTTAAGAGCAATATCGTTGATAGAGAATTTATACAAGATCGGCTCGTTGGAACGAGTGAAGGTCATGGAATGACATTTAGTGATACTAAGCTCCAAGCCAAGTCCCTGGCCCCATTGAGCGATAGCATTTAGATAAAATTGCAACAGCTTACAATCATCAGTGCTGGTAATACGGAAAAAAAGCTTTATATCATCAGCAAATATAAGAAGCTCACTGTGTTTAATTACATCTTTGATACTATTAATAAAAAGAGCAAAAAGAACGGGTGAGAGATGCCCTCCTTGAGGAACACCGGAGGTAACATTGATTGGACTGGAACAAAAACCGTTAATCTTGACTAGCTGTTTCCTCTCAGACAAATAGGAACGGAATTATGACATTAAAGGTTCACCAAACCCGAGATTTGACAACACACTAAGCAGAGTATGATGGTTAACGCTTTCAAAGGCCTTGGCGAAGTCCAAATAAATGGAATCTACCTGTAATTGTTTGTTAAAAGTCTCAAGGACATACTCGGTAAAAATTAAATTTCAGGTCGTAACTGACCGCCCAGGGCGAAAACCATGTTGCTCATTGATAATGATAAAATTAACAGGCCTTTGAATGGACTTCAGAACAAAAGACTCAATAAGTTTGGCAAGATAACTGATAATACTAAATAATAGGCCTGTAATTAATGACATCACTAGCGTCGCCTGTCTTAAAAATCGAAGTAACTGTACTAATCTTCCAAATATCTGGGGAGACACCTTCACATAAGGAATTTTTGTAAATTAGAAAAAGAGGAAAACACAAAACAGACCTAAGATTATAAATAAAAGTGCCTGAGAGGCCATCTGGTCCAACTGAATTAGTAAGACGTCATTTGGCTAGACTAGACTCGACATCACTTAGAGTAATGTTGCAAGCGGAAGGAAGCTCATATGGTAGACTCATATACCATCAGTGAACCATGTTTCAGAAAAACTAATAAAAAAAAACCAAAGCCGGTGCGGTTCGTAGTAGAAAGTTTAGTTCTTAGTCCACGGCAATTTTGATACATACCAAAATAGACTGACTTTTTAAGAGAACTTAAACAAGACTTAACACTAGTTTTACAAGAAACCTTACAATTTTATATTTCATTATTTACTACATTACTAAGGGAAGAAGCATCATCACGTACAAAACCTAGTTTTTTGAAGACGTAGAGTTGGCAATCCTTTCAGGAATCATCAGAAGCGTTAAACGAGGGGTCAAAAAGAAGGTTGCAAGACATCCGTCAACATCTCGGCAGGAACTCGAATATGAAAGGAGGAATACGTAGGATGTCTGGTGATCATTTGGGTAATTGACACGTCCATACCATCAAACAATTCAGTCTTGAGTTGAGTGGCAGTAATCTGAGGATGAAATCGGGAGACAAAAATGTCCCCAAATTTCACTACCGGCACAGCTGCCAGTTTGGAGGAAGCTGTGCTATTAGAACCAACTACAAACTTAGGCGTAGCAGTTGTTATAGAACTTTTATTGACCAAGTGTTCAAAAAATGCAATAGTTTATTATATATATATAATAGATTAATATTTAATATACTTTTGAAATACTAAGAAGTATAAAGGGTATTCTGTTTGATGATTATAATGATGATAGATAACATTTTGTCATTGTGTGTGCCGTCCGAGGGCAGTGAAACGGGTCACTTGCCCAGGCCTTAGGGCCTAACGTATATTTAATAACAACAACATTGATACCTCCCCACAGGAATTTAAATGGTAAGCTAAGAATATGACATAACTAGTGACATACATTATAAGATCTAACGTGGTGCCAAAAACTGAAATTGTAATCCTATGTAGATGGGTTATCAATTTTTGTGAAAAGGCTCTAATTTGTAGTTATGAGTTATGAATTATGCTACAATTATAGGAAATGTATTAAACATTTTAAAGATTAAAAGTAGTAAAACTCACAGTGCTTGTATTAAAATTAAAATAAATCCTTATCTATTGACTATTTAGCAAGTATCATAATAGTTAATTATAATATTTCATTATGGCCTATAATCTATAGACTTATAGTTAGTAAGTTATTATAGAATACCTGCTAAAAAATTCCAAAACTGACTGTCAAATCTAATAATAAAACCCATGAGGTTGCCTAGATAATAATCTTCCTTTAGATTTTATAAGAGCACAATTCACTCTAATTTTTAAACTAACGGAGCTACAAGCTTTGATGGGCGTAGAATTTGCTATGTTACACACTTGTAAGACGGAGACAACACATGCGGGTATCACGTCCTCTTAGTTTTGTAACTATACTAAAGTATATAACAATAATAATTTTTTTTTCTATTTTAGTATATGATAAGCAATGTGGAAAAAGTAGTATTGAACAAATTGAACCTGATAACTCTGAAAACAGTCATGAAAGTGTACCATTTTTACTCTGTAAAAAGTTATCAGCCTTGAATAATTGAGGCTTTCACTTAGAAAAGGTTCAAAGAAAAATAAAATCAATTTTTCGTTTTTTCGTTGAAAAAGTAGGTAGTAAATACATACCGTCGCTTGGCTTGTAAAACCTATGTGCAAAAAATCGCAAAATTGAAATTTTTACATTTCTGAATTCAGAAAAAAATACGATATCTAGTGATAAATATTTAAACTTATTGGTGTTATTAAAACATTTTTATCCTTCAAAACAATGAACCTCTTATGTTAGCTGTATTGAAATTGTTATCTGATATAGCTCCCATGTGCATATAGCGGAGGTTTGTCACACTGTTGGTTTGTATGAATTTCGCACATCGGGCTATATCAGCTGGTATTGGAATCACAGATTAACGACGCGCGCTCTAGTGCAATACATTTGAACTAATCTAATCAGGTAACATTTTTAGCAACATATTATGGTACATTGATATTATTATTGATTAATGATTAAATAAAACTAATTTCTATTTTATTAAGTATTTAATAAGTACTTGCCACTCGATAGTCGGTACATATATTATTATTTAACATCACGACCAATATATTATGCCAATGTCATGCATAATATATAATTGTATTATATTAACATAATAAATTCTCGAATAAACATTATTGTGACTACCATTATCCCAAGATTCACAAGTTAAAGTAAGTAGGTACTTAATTTTATGAATTAAACTGAAAAATAGTATTTATTTTTTACTAATTTAAACCATTTGTTTTAGACACAACAAAAGAGAAGCCATAACTTTTGCTCTGTGTTTGGTTGTAACTCAAGGTATACAACTTGTGAAGGCATAAGTTAAGTTTTCATCGATTTCCAAAAGAAAATGAAACAAAAATTATGTGGTTGAATATGCTTGGAGTAGAAGAACTTGTTGATAAAAGAAGGATATGGGCAATACATTTACGAATGGATAAAAAAACCTTACAAAAAAAAGATTGCAAATATGTTCAAAAGATTTTACAGAAGATAACTATTTTTGTCTTAGGTTTGTACAGTCATATTAGGAAAGTTCCCTTTAACTTTATTTGAATGTTTTTAGTGAAGGGAATTGTTTTATTTTTTTAATACTTATTAGTATAAAAGCTGAGAGAAAATGCCTGAAAAAAAACGCAGTTCCAAATATTAACTTACCGAAATCATCTATTCCATTTATTTCTCCAAAGAAAAGATTATCATCAAGAAATATTGCTTCTCTCAAAAATAAAATATCAGTAGTAAGTGTAATAAGTGAATTATTAATTTTATTATAGTTTAATATCATGTTATATATATTTATGCAAATATGTTTCAATAACAAAACCCGTACATTTCAATTAAATGTAAAACATTTTGTTTAGAATTCAAAAAAACTTGATTTTTCCAGTATCACATCTCATCATAATGTAATGCCCAGTTCTTCATTGACAGAGACTATAAATGACCAAGATCAGCAACAAATTGAAAGCATTCAATAAATACTGAAATACAAAAACGATAAGGAAAATCAAGTTTCTGTTGGGGATATATTTGTGCCTTTCATTAATTTAATTGATTCGCAAAAAAAGTTAGTGACAATGACTGGAATTCCTACATTTTCAGTTTTAGAAAAAATTTTAGAGATTTTTAATTTTTCATTATCCAGACACCAGAACACATCATCTAAGTATTAAGGAACGAATTTTATAAATTTTTTTTAAAACTAAAACAATGTAATTTGCAATCTTGTCAATTTTTTTTTTAAAATCTTACTGCGGAAACTTGTCGATTAATTTATGTTTCAAATATTCCATTAATTGCAAGTATTTTAAAACATATAATTTACTGGCCATCAAAATATAAAATTTTAAATAACATTCCACATTGCTTTAAAAAATTTACCAATATAGATTGCACAGAAATTTCTGTGCAACGGCCAAAATGCTTAACTTGTCGGATTAAAGTATACAGTAACTATAAGTCTACATTTACTTTAACATTTTTAATTGGTATTTCTCCTGGTGGATTAATTACTTTTATTAGTGAGCCATTTGGTGGGCGCGCATCGGATAAAGCAATTTTTGAACAAAGCTGATTGATTAATAAAATTGAACATCCAGATACTGTTACGGTGGATAAAGGAATTATGATAGATGATTTGTGCAAACAGAAAAAAATTGAAATTATTCGCTCTCCCTATTTAAAAAACAAAAAAAAAGTTCTCCATGGATGAAGCGTTACGCAATAGAGACATTGCAAGCGCAAGAGTTCATATTGAGAGAATAAATCAACGTCTAAAAACATTTAAAATACTTCAGTATAAGTTTCCATGGGCTCTTGCACATCTCTCTTCAGATATTATGATTTTAATTGAAGCCATTTGTAATATGAGTCCTCCAATTTTCTCAAACGACAAATTTAATGATATTTCAGTTGACCAAATACAATAAATATTTTCTTGTATTTGCATAAAATATGTTAGGTAATATATATATAATTTGTAAATTCAAAATAATTCACACATCTTTTATATCAATTTATATATATTTAAAATTAATTTGTAGCAGACAATGACATATAATATATATCTGTAAATATTTATAATTATTTGTATACATAATATTATGTACTTACACTATTTATGTAATAAAATTGTAAACAAAAATATAGTGTTATGATTATAAATGTATAATTTAAAAAAATGTATTACCTGAATAGTATTAAAAATTTAAATTAGGCTAATTAAAGCTTGAGAAATATTACAGGTGTGAGGTAACCTGAACTACAGTAGATTTTTATATTTTGGTATTTAAATACTACACAGAAGATTTATTTTTTGATCTTATCAGTTTATTGTACAGTATATTATAATAAAATTATATAATCATCTAGTGTCTGATAATTTACATATTTCATGCAATAGTTTATCAAACACATTTTTAAACTTAAAAGCATACGTTTGCAGTAGTCATAATTAAAATCTATAGAAATAACATGATAGATGTTATCAAATCTGTTATAAATTATAAAATCACAATGTGTTACATTTAACATTATAAGCTTAAGTTGTATATTTTGTGCATAATATGCATGATTTTGTTTTAAGTCCAATTCACCATTAGGTTTTTTTGTTATGTAGGATAAGTTATTAAGCATATCTAATTGACTTTGATATGATCCTTTATAAGGACATTTTATTTCAATTAGTTTTATACGTTTATTGTTTACATCTCAAATTACACCAACAGGCGAGTACCCTAACCAAGGTGTTATTGAATGGGTAATAAATCCACATTCATAGACTTTTAAGCTATTCGTTTTTGAATAAAGTTGTCTTGCTATACTTTCAAACTCAATGCCGCGCTTTACAAATTTGTTGGTAAATTGTTTTGGCTAAAAATATCTACTAGCCTTAAGTGCCCACTGTTTTTCAGTTTTTGGAGATTTATTATAGGTGTATAGTGAATGACACCGATTACCTGTAATTCTAAACTGTCTTACAACTTTCCAATAGACTTTATCTTTAAGAGACTTATTTCTTATATACTCTGTAGGTGTATCTACAAGTTGGGAATATTTAACTAAACAGCAATTTTTTAGTTCATTGACAAAACAATTACGGACAATATGAAGCAAACTATTAGGTGTCAACATAATTTCAAAATTAGTATCAGCATCAATGTTTGTTAATCTGCCTTCTTCAGTACTAATACAATTTCTACCTTTAGTATGCAAAGATAAAGCTGATAATGGTGAAGCAAAAGCAGATCTAAAATGCATAAAATATAAAGCTTAAAAAAAATAATATTCATTATTATGTAAGGTTTCTAATTTTAGTTATATACCTAATGTCTTCACCTGATAGTTCTCTATTACAGATTGGAACAATTATTGGTTTGCAACAACAAAATTGTTTAATTGGAACTGGAGAATATTTTTGTAAAGATATTTCCCTTAAACGTGACCACTCACATCTAATATCAGTTGATGATAATGTATCAATATCAGATATTGGAGTTCTAAAAAAAAATCATTCTACATTATTATAAGACTTATAAATATTTATTGGAATAAATTATAAAACTAATTTACCTATTTAAATATAAAAGTATTGCTACAACTTGTTTACAGCATTCCGATGCCCCTGCTGCACAAGTACATTTTACTTGGATTATTTCTAATTTATCCCCTGATTCAAAATTACCACTCACTTCATGAATCATGAGGCATTTCTCGAATATGAGATGTTTGAATAATAAGTGCTTTTATAGTGATTATTTGTTCCTAGTAAAATACAAAATTATTTAATTAAAAAATAAATAGGTACTACTTTAATATAAACATTGTATAGGTATCAGGTATATATACATATATAGGTACATATCATATTGATTATAATATCATTAAAGCTATTTAAATTAATAAACTATTGTCATAATTCATCTCATGCCTATGCATTATTTTTTTATTTTAACGAACTTGAAAAATCTGAACCCAATTCCTATACAATAAATAATTTATTAATATTAAAAACTTACCTTTACCAATTTTCCACAAAGCACGATTTGTTTGGAGTTTAAAACTTGTTCACCCTCAATCGCATTTTAGATTCTGAGTGAAACGATGAATGTATTGACTTTACCGGGGGGTAAATCACTGATGGAAATCGGTGTACAAGTAGTGGGAAATCTTTTGGTAATCTCAGGAATTATGGTTATCTTGGAAATCTATGGGGTAATCTGTTAAATCTTATGGTAATCTTGGAAATCCGTGGTAATCTCATGGAAATCTCTGGTAATCTGATTAAAACCATTGGTAATCTCATAAAAATTGTTGTTACATTGTTTATGATATTTAACATTTTCAACACTGGGCCTATGGATATGTTTATTTATATCACACTATCACAGATTGTATTAAATACTCTATGTTTGTTTTGCGGATTGAAAGTGATATCCATTCTTTTACCCGTCTTTTATAATATTATGTTATTTTTCTACACACTACACTCGCCTGTCTAACAATAAATAATTAATAAACTTTCAATCGCCACTCACCATTAATAGTGTACAGTGTACACTACAGTCGGTCTCGGAGTTTTTCTTCTGGTTTTTCTTGTAGCAGTTTACAGGTATGAATACATTTCTAAGAGTGATTTAACTTTGAACTATTATTATTGTTATTATCTCTCGATAGTCTAAGTTGTATTGTAAGGTACTTAGTTAGGTAAGTTAGTTACTCTGGCAAATACAAATTATATTATAAACGTCAGTACCTATTTAATAAAAAAAACTCATTAATGAGTCATACTGTTTTTTGACCTTAAATACAGTTGAACTGAAAATTTTGAGGAAAATTTTAATTCTATAGTAAGACTGGTGTACAAATACCTAACTATTTATGTTTAAATAAGAAAAAAAATAGTACTGAAAATAGTGTTATCATTTAAAAAAAAATTAAATTTTAAAGATTCAAAATAGAGTTTCATGAAACTGAGTAACAGATTTTTGAGTATCAATATTTTTTAGACAATTTATATCAAATAATTTAACATTTAAACCTATACAATTTCAATGGATGTTTAAAATTTAAATAAAAAAAAAGGAATAAAATAAATAATGATTATTTGAGTGCAAAATTATTACTGGCTTGTTTTTACATTTTATTTAACTTAAAAAATCCAGAAAAAAATCTGTAAGCAAATTAATGTCTGAATTAATGTTTTTTTATATTTTAGAAAAATGGCCAAAAACTCTGTAAAAATAGTCTTCTGGATAGAAGATGACATAGAAGATGTTTTTACGGAGGCAGAAAACTCTTTGATGACTACCATTCCGAGTAATTTAAAACAACTTTTAATAATAAATGGTTATGAAGATAAAAACGCTTTGAGTAGCATTGATGATCAGGTTTTGGACAGTATTGAAGAATTTGCTAGAGAAGTTATACCCAGTTTAATAAAAAGTGATGAATATTTATCTTATTATGGAATTTTTGAAAATAATGTTCCTAAATTTCAAATTATTAGTGTGTTTCGTAAGAGAATTATGATGGTGGCTAATTTTTATAAAACAACATTTTTTAACACTGGTCCACAAATGGTAAAAAGAACTTTACCAAAAACAAGAAATGTAAATTGTAAACGAATTTGTACTTCTGATTTGTCTAAAAATAATTCAGAACTTAGTATGTACAACATCACAGATAACAATGCAATACCTACTTGACTTGGAAAGTGAACGTGCATTTGTTGAATCTTCAATTAGAAAATGGCTTCGAAATCATTCACAATTAGAACTTCAGTCAGCATCAAATAATGATTTAAATATTTCTGTTAAGGTAAATGAAAATAATTTGGAAGATGATGATACAGGCGAAAAAAGTTATAGTTCTGATTTCATTTGCTTCATACATTGTGTAGTATGCAAGGTAAGGTTAACATGCAGAAAAGTAAAAGATAAAGCACATACCAAAGGTAGATGGTTACTTAGTTATTTATACAGACACATGGCTATACATTCTTCAGAAAACAAAACCAATTCTAAAGAAAATAAACCTCATAACAAAAAAGTAACAGATTACTTTCCTCATAATGCTCATACCCATGAAACAAATAATGATGGTAATGTTGATTCTCCTGAAGAAATTAATTTGAATTTAAGATCTGACTCTTCGGTTTTTCAAGTAAGCAGTGTTATGACTCAAGGGACACATAATAATAAGCTGCAAATAGAATGTCCCCAAGAAAATTTGGATTATGTTAAAAAAAATGCTTTGGCTAAATCTAAGTGGAAAATGTCATTATACAGTCGTCGAGAAAGGGAAGCAAGAGTCAGACATAAAACGCTTGTGTCAGAAAAAATCAACTATGGATTGGAGCAACCATTAATAACCCAGTATTGGACAAGGTTGAAAAATTAATTAAAGAAAATGTTGATTTAAAACAGATGTTGTTAGAGAATATAAATAACTCTGTTGAACATATTAATCATTTTTCAATTGAAAATATGCCAGTTCTACTTAAAAGTTTACTTAAATCAAGTATAGTTAATTCAAAACACAAACCAAATTCTAATGTGTATAATGAAACAATGAAAAAATTTTCTATTTATCTATTTTTTGTTGGTGGACGTCATCTATATCAAACACTTTGTTATAATTTTCCAAATTCTCTTCCATCAATTCCCAGTCTTTTCAGATATTTTGGAAAAACTCAACAATTGTCTGAAGGATACTTCAGGTTTATGGAACTCAGAAAATTCTTGGACGATCATAACTATCCTTCATATGTCTGGTTGAGTGAGGATGCCACAAGAATAACTTTAAGCATAGAGTATGATAGCATGACAGATAAGCTCGTGGGATTTGTTTTACCATTAAAAGATGACTGTCCTATATCAAATACATATGTAGTGACATCAGTTAGAAGTATATTGGATGCGTTTGAAAATGGAACTAAATCCAAGTATGCATATTGTATTATGGCACAACCATCCTTACCTGGTGCTCTTTCATTTTGTATTTCAATTTTTGGCACAAATAATCATTTTTCTTTTACTGATGTAAATAATCGTTGGGAAAAAATGATACAAATGGCTTCAAATCAAAATATTCATGTTTTAGGATTTTCGAGTGACGGGGACCCTAGACTTTTAAAAGCCATGCTGTATCGTTGTATGGTTCAGGAACCTGTATCTGATTGTTTATGGTTTAAATTAGGCTCTCCACTTGGTTATAACTCAACATCACATAAACATCAAATCTACATTCAAGACACTACACACATAGGGACCAAGTTAAGAGCAAGACTTCTGAAACCTAGTGTAGTTCTTCTCATGGGTAGATATGCTGCTTCATTAACTCATTTGCAATGTCTAATAGATAGTTACTCTAAAGACAAACATTTTCTCACAAAATCAGATCTTAATTCAATTGATAAAATGAATTTTCGAGCAGCTGAAAAAATGTATTCTGATAAAGTTATTGAGTTAATGAAATCTATTCCAGATACAAATGGTACAGTTGCTTATCTAACAATTATGCAATTTGTTATTTCTGCATTTAATGACCATAATATTAGCATTAAAGACCGTATATATAAATTGTATTTTGCTGTATTCTTTTTAAGAAAATGGAAACTTTGGATTACTAGCAATAAATCCTACTCTGGTACAGCTAACTTTATATCTATTAATTCATACCATTGTATTGAAATAAATGCTCATGCAATAATTAAACTTGTAAATACATTTAAGACATCTGTATTAAATATTGAAAAAGAACCAAACAATACATCAGGTCTAAATCCTAGTATGTTTGTACCATGGCTCTACATCTCTACCATGTGAACAACTATTTAGAACCACAAGATCGCTAACATCTACTTTTAACACAGCAGTAAACTTTAGTATTAAAGAATTAATGAATACGGGTCAAACGTATTGAAATGTTGAATTCAATATCTAATGATCTTGGAAATTCAAAAAACAATGAAGTAAATGATATCTACAAGTTTCCACGAAATATCAAACAAACATCAATGTCTAATTCTGTTTCCAGATCTCTTTCAAATATAACTTCAGACATGTTAACTTCTTTGAATTTAAATAGTACCATAAATGACGCATTTGATGACTCCCAAAAATTATTAAGAACACTTGGGATAATAATACAGGAAGAAACTATGATCATAGATGATTTAGTACTCAATATTTCAATTGAAAAACTCTATAAGACAATGGATAAGACCATTAATGATGATTATGTAAGCTCAGATGTAAACTTCATAACTTCTGATGGAGATCCAGATAAGGATGATCTAGGTGAAAACATGCATGACTCTGTAAATTACCACGATAATAATAAAACTGATTTAAACCCAGATAAAATTGATAATGGATTGGACTTATGTAGCTTGTAATCAATAGAAAATATTGGAGAATTTCTGAACCTAAAAAATTTTGAATCTAAGTTTGATGAAGAAGCATATGAAGGATTTAAAAACAGCCCATTCATTAAAATAAAAACTAATAATAATAAATCTATGATCATAAAAAAAGCACATTATGTTAGTTATTAGATAATAAAAAAGATATAGTCAGTACAGACCGTTTAAGAAGATTCATTCCTATTGTCTCAAAAAATGATACTCCATTAATTGTTCATAAGAAAATAACTATTAGTGATCATGTACGTATTGGGGATTGGGCTTTATTTAGATTAAATAAAACTAAGGATGAAGAAATTAATATTCCAAAAAATGTTTGGAGGTTTTATTATTTGTAGAATTCTTGCTTTTGGATACATGACCAAGAGAAACAAAGCTTTTGGTAGACAGTTTGTAATAATTAAAGAAGATCGTTTAAATGAAATAGCATGTTATTGTAGTTGCTACACAACAAATGAATCAGGACAATTATTTTCATTTGAAAAAAAAATGTGTATCAGTGTATGAACACCTATATTTTTTCAATTGAAAATCCTTTAGTAAAAACAATTGAAAATAAACCAATGTTAGTTTTGGACACTCAAGTATTTAGTGATTTGCAAAACCAAATACTAACAATACCTACAAACAGTAAGGAGCGTACATCATTTAAATCTACCCGAACAGATAAAAGTATATCAAATTCTGATGATGATTCTCTGAGTGATTCTTATAGTGTACTTGACAGTCCAGACACTGATTCACTCGGCTCAGATGAAAACTCTGATGAAAACAATGGAGTCAGAGATGAACCTCAACTTCAAACTGACCAAAATAAAATAAACATGTCTGGAATAGTTAGTCTCAATAAAGAAAACTATTATGCTATTATGTACGACACAAATTGGTACTTGGGAAGATTAATATATTTTACTAATCAAGAAAAAACATTTTGTGCGATTAAATTTTTAAAAACAGATCTGGATACTTTTTATTGGCCAAAACATCCTGAACAACAAGAGGTAAATGTTAAATATATTTTTTATGGACCTATAAACCTTCAAGGTTTTGGACCATTTACTATATAAAGAAATGATCGTCAACAGATTATAAAGATATACAAAAGTTTGAAAAAAATGTAATGTAATAAATTCTTTAATTATTTTTGTTCGAATCTAGTTATAAAAAAATATTATGTTTAAATATTTTGACAATTCATAAGTTAGTTATTTAATTAGTTATTTTGTTTTTTTTCTGTTTTTTTTTCATTTATTTTTAATAATAAGAAGAAATATTAGAAAACACAGAAGAATACACAATACTTTAAGAAACTTATATTCCAGTTAAGGATATAACTAAAATTTATAAATCTGGATAATATAAATAATATTTTGTGTATAATCTGGTTAATAATATTTTATTAAGTTGTTTAACACAATTTTTTAAGTTTTGCATACAGATTTAAAATTATTATAGACAATCTGTGGTATTATCAAAGATTATTTGAAACTTTTATATTATATTCTGTGATATTGTGACGAATACTCTACATTATGGAAATATACTTGTGCTTTGGTAATCATGGTAATCTTAAGGAATCTCGGTCATCATTAACTATTTATGGAAATCCATTGGTAATCTTACTAATAATGGTAATCTCTGTGGTAACCTTTAGACAATCATGGTAATCTTTGGATAATCATGGTAAATTTTGGGTAATCATGGTAATCTGTAATCTGGTGTACACATTTTCCACCAGTGATTTACCCTCTAGACTTTACAATGTGTGTTTTTTTTTTAAATTTTTTAAATTTTTGTATCTGTCATCACGTTTTAGGACAGTAAAAGTGCTTGGATTTTCTTCAACAGAATCTTTTCTGATAAGAAAGTGAATCTAGTTGGTACTTTGGGGGGTCAAAAGTAAAAATTTCACAGTAGTTTTCACAAGCGCCGGGAAAAACAACATAACAATTTAGGAAAAACGGGAATTTTTACGCACAATCGGTTTTCCAAAAAATTGAATTTGGTTTTTGGTGTAACTCTAAAAAAAATAAACGAATATACATGCAATTTTCTCTGGTTGTTTATATTTGCATTTCTTATTCACAATAACATTTTCAAAATATTTTGATTTATTTTGAACTTGGGACATTTTCATTTTCCATTTTTTTTTAGTTTTTTTTTCTAAAAATATCAATAAAATTTTATTTGTTGGTTGCGAAAGCTTGAAAATTTAATAGAAGGCTCCTAGTATATTGTTTCAAAGGCAGATGAAAAATACTAAAAATCCTTAGTTACATTTTTTTTTTATAAGCATTTAAAGTTCAATAATTGACAAAATATGGAAAAATCACGAAAATTAACAAATTATTTTGAGTTAAGAATTCGTAAAATTTTTCTTTTTAAATCTAAGGTTTCAAAATGTAATACAAGATTCCTTATAAGATTATCTAATTTTATCAAAATAAAAATGTCTATAAGAAAGTCAAATTAAATTTTTATGAGCGTTTGAAATTCAAATTTTTACAACATTGGATATTCACTCGATTTCTCATGTAGCGATTTCCTTATTTTGTTGTAATTCAAAAACGAATAACTGTAGATACATTTCACTGAATATTTATATTAGTATTTCCTATACACCATACAATTTTGAAAATATTTTGACTCTTTTTGAGCTGTTTACGGACATTTTCAGTTTTCAATTATTTTAGTTTTTTTTTCTATAAATATCAATTAGGTTTTATCTGTTGGGCCAAAAAGTGTAAAAATGTAATACAAGACTCCTGATATATTGTTACAATATCAGTTCAAAAACATTGAAAATACATAGGCATAATTTTTTTTATAAGCATTTAATGTTGGAATTTTGACAAAATGTATCAAAATCTCGAAAATTATCAATCATTGTAATTAATAAATTATAAAATGTTCAGTTTTTATAGTTGAGGATTGCAAATTTAAAACAAAGGTTCTCATAAATAGTTCATACTGTAACCAAAAAATCTAAAAAATATATGAACACAGTTTTTTTTGCAGACATTTTAAATTCAAATTTGGACGAAATTACATATTAAAAAACCTAGAATAACTATTTTAGTTATTTTGTTGTGATTGAATAATATTATTCGTGGGTACTTGAAACTTCTAAAGTGTACTATTATATATCTATGATAGTATCACGGTTTTTGTTGATGTATAACGCGTTATAAGTACCTAATGGATATTGTGATATGATTAATTTGGAATTCATTATAGGTCATTTTTTTTTTAATACCATAGATATGTATATAATACGTCTTATACCTATACCGAGACCGACATACCGTCTCCGCTCAGAATCGTTTTTCTTAATATACAATGATATTATATCATTAAATTCAAATTTAATACTATCTATTATACAGTGACAGACTTGTAACTTACTGCACAGCAGAGCGATACAAGCTTGCCAACCTTTTTTTGAGTTTACTATGCATTACTTTGCATAGTTAAATATATCACTAGGAAGTAATGCCATTTTAAATAAGTGGTATTGACTATTTACAGCCGTTGCCCGTTGAGATATAAAATCACTAACTATGTACCTACCTACGTTAATAATAATACTGATACATAACTAGTAACTACATAATAGGTAATAAGACTATAAAAAAAGTAGGTAGGGCAGGCAATCATAATCGTGTTTATAATATTCATTATAATTTATTTATAGTTCAAACATTTGAGATAATAATTAATAATCATTATATTAATCTGATACCCGAATAGAGCAGTCATTTTTAAAAGACTACAGCGCGCCCTGTGGTAATCTGTTTCCCCAATAGGAGGGAAAATAATCTTTATTATCACTTTTCATAATAATATTTTTCATTTTGAATTTTTGATGGCAGGAAATCGCAATCTTCAACAATAACGTAAGTGTAATTCAATTTAAAATTAAGATTATTGTTATAATACAATTTTATAATACTAAAAATATTGAAACCTGATTATATAAATACCTATTGGCTAATTTGGTCTTATCATAATATTCTATTTATTTTTTAATTGCATTCTATATAAATTTAAATTTCTAATTTTTCTATACATCTTCATTTTCGATAATGAATCGTGCAAGAATTCTGGTTGAAATGGTTGTCCCTGACATTGATTAAGTTAAAACCATAAAGGAAATATGTGAGGAAGATTTAAAGCTTTTTGAATCAGTTAATAGCATTAATGAACATGATCATGAGCACTGGGCTGTTGATGAAAATGGAAAGGAAGTTGACCTGAATGTATATTATGATAATCCTATGCCAATAACAACCATAAATAATTTTAACAATTTAAACAATTTTGATAATTATGATTTTATTATTACTGATAATATTAATACTTATGAGAATATTGATGCTGAAACTGAAAAAAATGCTAAAGTAGATGATCCTTTAAATGAAATTAATAGTAATGTGGACTGTGATGATCTGTAAATTCTATGGAAATTGGTAGAACAAGTAAGGAAAAGGCTTCAATAAAAAGTGTGGCTGGAGACCTTTATATGGGTTCAAAAGTTAAGAATGGTAAATGCATAGATTCTTGTCCAAAGCCTGGAAGATATTTGAAAGATTGTTGTGCTCATAATCACAAAAAAAAAAAAATTAGGTTCCAAAGGTTTTTTTTGCGAAATTTTCAACGAAATAGATGGTTAAATAATTTTTAGAAAATGTTTGAAGATTTTATCTTGGAAAGAAAAAAAAGCTTACATAAATGGTTTAGTTGTAACTAGAATTGTAGATTGTAGAAGGAAATCAACTAAAATGAATAAAGATACCACAGCAAAGAAAAATTATGCAAGAGATATTTATTTATCTTTAACCCTGCGTAGGTCGCGTGCCTTAATAAATGAAAACTACCTGTGAAAAAACCATTTATTTTTAGATGGATTACAATAGTAAGGGTTAAGTGATTGTCAGAAATACAAGCTATGTCGTTCATTCTTCTTAAACACACTGTGCATTGGTGAAGATACATTTAAGGGATGAACCAAACATGGTATTGAGACAACCTCTAAGAGTTCTGAAACTATAATGGACAATCATAATAGTATTTTGATGTGTGAATCTGATTCTACTAAGAAAACTCTCCCAGAAAAAAATAAAAAAATTCAAGATACAGAATTAGTTTTAACATGGTTCAATATGTTACTTAAGGAACCGAGTCACTATTGTAGAAAATATTCTAACAAAATTTATGTTGAGTCCACATTTTTATCTGTATCTGAAATGTTTAAGGACTTTTCTAGATGGGTCAAAGAAGAGTTGTCAAAAGAAGTATCTCGAGATACACTTTTTCGCAGAGCATTAAAAAATGAAAATATATACATATACAAACCAAGATAGGACCAGTGTGATATTTGTACCGGACATAAAACAAAAATTGATGCAGTTGACGAAATTACCTACCAAAATCATATACCAAGAAAAGATAACTTTACTACGAATTTATGGGGATACATAGAAAGGTAAAATGCTTAATATTAATATACAAATTATTTTACAGAAGGTTGATTAAATTAAAATTGGTTATAAATGATATTGTGTTTTGAATGTTGGCTGGCTGAAGGGCATCGGCGAGAATGTATGGTACTCCTGCTTCCCGTTTTTTTCTCTCAAATTGGCGGCATTCTGTTGTGATGTGCTTAATTGTGAAGCTCCGTGAAGTTAGCCGCACAATGTAAAAATTTTGACTCCAAATTTTGTAAATAATTTGTAAGTATTTGTAAGCAAAATTTGGTAATTTGTAAGTACAGCCGTTTTCAATTATCCTCAAAAGTTTAAATCACGGCTAACTTTCGCGAAACTTGGCCGTTTCGGCATTTCTAAGCTTTTGACTACCCCAAATCGTCAAGGGCAATTTGTAAGTATTCATGTATGTAACATGAAGAAAAATCCCTTTTTTCTAATATTTTCATTTTTATTATGAATGTTTTTTATACAAATTAAAATTTTTTTTTTGCTCATTATTATCATTTTTAATAATTGTATTTGTTGAAATATACAATTAATATGTAGTATATGTAGTCAGCCTTGACACGTGTGTACAATATAGTAACTAGTTATGTACGAGCATAAGACTCACTCTCTTCACGGATGTAACATGACCTCGGTCGTGCATTATATATATAGGGCCTTTGATATATGTAATATTCACTTGCACAGGCGTCGTTGTACAGAGCGTATACGATGTGTGTGTACTGCAACAGTTTAATTGTCCAGTTGTACGTTATTATATATTATACTTATACATAATCATATTGTCGTGTTATTACTTATTATATTAATGCTAACATCATTAGTCCGTCAAGCTTCACTTTCAACAGTATTATTATTTTATTAATTTAACCACGTATGATTATTTTATTAATTTAACCACGTATGATTATTATATTATATTAATCATCAACATTAATAATATTAGAATTATTTCATTCTTACTTTCTTGTGTAAATGTTAACGGTATTTAGGTAGGTATAGAAATAGACCCAGTCTTACCTTTTTACCTGTATATACCTATATTGTATCTGATATCATATCATTTTAAATGTTAACACTAACAAATAATAGTTGTTAAATGGGTACCTACCACTAAACTGTGTAGTGATAAGTGGTAGGTTACCTATTAGCTGTAATAGATGTGTGCAATTTGAATTAAATTATTTATTATTGTATAATATTTTAATATTAATTTTACTACATTTATAATATTCTATTACACTTTCCAGTCCTTTGCAGATTTTTTCATATGCCGTTGAAGTATTTCCTGAACAGTTTATTGAAATAACATTATTGACTAGAGTTTCTGATGGGCATATATTTTTAAGTAAATTAGGGCCCTTTAGACGAACGCTTTTTTTGGCGCGCCAATACTACGCGCCAAGCATGCAGTCAGTCGCGGCGGATAGGCACGTAGCGCGCGAAGAGTGTGGTAGCAAATAAACGAACACTCCAGGCGCTCGATCTTTACCTGGTTGTCTGGGAATGTAGGAAAGCGTGGCTGTGTAAAGGCTAAAACTGTGTCTTTCACGCACGCATAGGGTGGCGTGTGGCGTGTTGAAAATATCGACACTTTTGCAGTGAATTATCATAGGATTGGGTTTGTTATCACAAAAATAATAAATATAATTATTTTAAATTATTTGTTTCATTTATGTAGTGGTGCTTAGCTTAATTGTATTTTTTAATAATAGTATAAATGTTAATTTTTGATCGCACAAAAAGGATTACCTAGTACCTATATTATACAAGTCTGAAAAGCGTCTAAAGCTTGATTTAACCACTCAACTGAAGTAAGTATAAGTATATGTACTGAAGCCCCTCCAATAGTTTTTTTTAAATATTTGTAGCGTCTCCAAATTTAAGACTAACAAACTAACTTCTCTTTCAGTAGTAAAATAATGATTTTTAATAATATTTTAAATAACTAACAAAGAAGTGTCTAATTAAACCAATCAATTTATTAATACTATAGGTATTCATAATAGAATGTACAAACAACATAATAAGAAAAAGCAATTGGCAATTGCATGTGCTGCTATAAGTATAATCACAACAAAGCAAAGAAAAAAGAGATCACAATGGGTGAAAAATTGGAAACTGGACAAATCTAAATTTGGAAATATACCTTTACTTAGTGAAATAAGGGAAAACAACCCAGATGATTTTAGAAATTATCTTAGGATGGATTCTGCATCATTTGACGTTTTATTGAATTTGGTAGGACCAAAAATTTGTAAAATGGATACTGTTATGAGGTCAAGCATCAGTAGCAGCGAAAGATTAATTGCCACATTAAGGTTCTTAGCAACAGGAAATTCATATGAAGATATGAAATTCAGCACTTGTATTTCTACATCGAGTTTGTCATATATTATACCAGAGACATGTAAGGCTTTATATGATATATTGGCTCCTCAATACCTAAAGGTAAATTATTTGAATCTATCTTATGTAAGTGACAAAATTTAGTTTACTTGTATTTTTTAAGAGTACTTTAATAGTCAATTTAATAACTAACTTAGTTAGTTAATAAGTTATAACTATTTATATAAAAAATATAAAAAACATAAATGACAGAAATAACAATACTATTTTTATTAAAATCATAAAAAATAACAATTTATATTAAACTCTTTTAAGACTTCAACCTTTGAAGTACATTTTTCAACTGAAAATCATAATAAATATTAGATAACTTTTAATTACAAAAAAAAAAAAAACAAAAACGTAGGAAAGACTTGAAACTAAAAATAAAATAAAATTTAACAATGAAATGTAATCTTTAACTTAATACATAATTTTAGTTCAAATTATTTAAAGACTCAGAAAATACATTAATAAAATTTGACGGTTGTTGTGAAACACTGCCAGACTGATGATACAACATATTATTGGGGTCCAAATGATAGTCACTCGAAATTGAACTTTGAGATGATTCTACAGGGCTAAGTGTATTTATACTGATAGGTTGCTGCATTGGAATGGTTCCATGATATGCTGTATTTTCAAAAAGATCCGTTTGGGCAGTTAATGAATTTAACAACCCACGTCCCAAAATTCTGCTAATTAGCATATCAGCATAAATACTCTGATTTTGATCCATCTTCTTAAGTTTTTGAGCAACGTTTATTCCAACAGCATCAAACTCAGTTATTTCTACATCTTTATTTAATGCAGTAGTACAAGCATTCATAAACTCTGCACTCCGTTCTGCAGAATTTCGTTTTCTTTTTGAGGGTGTTGGTGAAGGTTTACATGGAACAGTAAACGTTGAAACTTGTTCCTAAGTATAAACAAACCATAATAAACTTAAAAATTGGATAGTTTTGAAAAAAAACTTGTAATTTTTGTTTTTGTTTATTTTAAAACCTATCTATAAAAAACAATAAATTGAGAACTGTTTAAAAGATAGTCATAAATTCATAACATATGTGTTTTAAATATACTGATTTAAAATTTATTTTGTTTTTCAAGTTAAAATAATAATACAATATTTAAATATAACATAAATTAAGTACCTACACAAATTTTAAAATATTTCATTAAATTATCCATTTTTAGTTTCCATCTACAGCACAAGAATGGATTGATGTAGCAAATGGATTTAAAAATAGATGGCAATTCATTAATGCTGGAGGAGCTATAGATGGGAAACATATTCGGATAGTACAACCAGCCAATTCTGGTGCACAATACTATAACTATAAAGGCTTTCATAGTATTGTACTTATGGCTATTGTAAATAGCAATCATGAATTTATTTATATAGATGTTGGTAAAAATGGGCGGTTATCAGATGGAGGAATAATTGAATGTACAGAATTTTATAGAAGACTGCAGAATAACCAACTTCATATTCCAGATAACAATGAAACCAATGAAAATTTGAACTTTGTTTTTCTAGCTGATGATGCATTTCCCCTTCAAGAACATATTCTTAAGCCATTTCCACAAAGAAACTTATCAAAAGAAAAACGAATTTTCAACTACAGATTTTCACGAGCAAGAAATTGTGTAGAAAATACATTTGGTTTAATTACCACCAGATTTCGTGTACTGCATCATGCAATTAATTTGAACCCTGAAAAAGCTAAGCACATAGTCCTTGCCATATGTGTACTCCACAACTTTTTGAGACAACGTAGTGCTTCATATTTACCACCAAATACAACACTAGACAAAGATAATCATAAAAATATAATTGATAGACAAGTGAGGGATGCAATTTTTGATCTTCCTCAACTTCAGCATCAACGAATCACGAGTATATCCACAGCTGCCAAAGAAAATAGGGACAAATATAAGGAATATTTCAATTCTACTGGGGCTGTTGAATGGCAAGAACAAATGATAAGTGCAGGGAGAGCTTAAAAACAAAAATATAGCTATTTTCAAAGAATTTTTTTTTTTGCATTTAAAAATGTAGTTAGTAATTTTTGTTACTGTTAATACTAATAATTTTAAATGTTTAACTTATTTGTATTTCTAATATATAATAATCATATGTCCTTAGACATAATTATCATGTAAAATCTTTTTTATCTTCACCTCCAGATTAGCTGCTATTATTTTCATCTTAAACATCTCTTAGTTTACTTTTGTAGATACACATTTATCACTTTTATAGTTATATGTAGTTAACATATAAATTAGAATAATATTAAAGTTTACATAACTTTAATACATAAATTTAAAATATACCTTATTGTTTTTGTTATTTACTAAAACAGAATTTTTACATAGGTAATTATGAATTGTTAAATAATATTAAATATAATTTAAATGTAGGCAATAAAAAGTTTATATTTATGGTATGACATTTAAAAGTATGTACCTAAGTATTG